GATGGATGAGTGATTATCCAAGTTTACAGTGTTAGTTTAAACTAATTAGAACAATTATTTAAGTATATATTTGGCATGATGCTGCAGATACAGCGGTGCTGTATATGTGTGGGTTGGAAGCACTGTTTTCTGAGAAAATATTGTTTTCTTTTTTTCTTTTTTCTTTGTTTGTTTTGGAAACAATGTTATCAAGTAGGACATTTTTTGGGGTAATAGCAACACCTTCTGTTTGGTACCGGTGCTTTATATCTGTTTTCAGCACTGATACTTTTTATAGGAAGTCCACGTCATTACCACCTTATTGGCAGCAACAAGCTCTAAATTGAGAAAACGGCGAATTCAACGTTTCCCCAGGCCATGTCTTCTCGATTTCTAAGACATGGTTTAGAATACCATTTTTTATAAAAAAACGATTCTAAACATGTTATCATTTTCTGGAGTACCAATTTTTTCAATATAACATAATGTATCACCGTTTTCTGAAACAATGACACCAAACACCACCTAAATTCATTATTATCAAAGTATCAAACTCTAATGGCACTGTGAGCTGAATTAATACGTGACGAATAGACAAAGAGAACTTGGGGCCCATGATCATAGTCTCGTAGAGAGGCTTTCTATTTGATATTTAAAAGGTTTTTTTTTTTTATTTCACTAACTCTTGGTTGTTTGGGCAAGGCTATTACAGTATTGCTTATTAATAGCTAGTGGTGTGCTTTTTCTAGTGTTTTACATAATTAACTTTATGCATTGTGAACTCAAAAATTTGTATAAAAATATCCACCCTCACCCTGAGGTAAGCCACAGTTACTGGATAGTCAAGAGCAACCCTTGATTTCTTATTACTAAATACATTGGGTCTTCTGCAATTTGAGGGCCGATGTGGCCCATCTGAAAGGCCTCCTATCGGTGGACCATGGTTGTCCGGCTTTAATTTAATGTACCGGCTGTCCACTTGGAAATCTTTAATATTTGTGTCGATTTGGAATTTTTCTTTAAAGTCAGAAACTTACATTGCTTACATACAAGGTCGGCCGCAAATCAACAATAGGCTATCCTTATATTATTTTCATCATCTAACCCTTTGTTCTAATTATATGAGTCAGTTATATATATCCTATTTTGCTATTCTGTTCTGTTTAATATTATTTTTATCATTAAATTATGAGTGCTTAAATCATTTCTTAGGTTCTGCTTGATTCACGGGAATAGGGGTCTGGAATTGGAATTAAAATGGGCTATTCCGATTTCAATTATTTGGTTAAGTGGAATCGGAATTCCATTCCTATTCCTGCTGGAATGGCATTCTCCCATATATTCCTGCTGGAATAGCATTCTCCCATATATTCCTGCTAGAATGGCATTCTCCCATATAAGGGAATGGTCATTCCCTGCCCCTCTTTTGAGAATGAAATCATATTCTTATTTATTCCAATTTTCATTACCATTCCTGTCTGAACCAAACAGAATATGAGAATAAATCATTCTAATTCCAATTCCAAAGGATTTTGATTCCGATTCCAACTGTAAACAAACGGATCCTTATTACTTCCATCTTTGCTTTTTTTGTTCTATTCCTATCTCTTCTAACCCCTGAATATGTAACAGATTATTTTTCTTAACAGGCTTTATTTTGGATTCACAGGTCTCACAGAACGGTTTGATCCCCTTAATAACTTTGGAACATGTCGCATTAGAATCATGACTGATGATGCACGATCTGGCCGGTCTTAGCTGTTGATGATCTTGCCTCCGAAATGAGTAACAGGGACCTGAAAYGGGAGGAGAAGAGAGGCTCCGGGGAGAACCCGGCGTAAGGGCTCCGAAGCTCAAGTTAGAGTCTTTTAAAGGCAAGAATAACCAGATAGCGCGGAAGTTAGCATACCTCGTCCCTGGGGG